AGCGCAAAGCCGAGAGTAAGCCCTGAGCACCGCTGGGTGGGGACACCCTCCCAATCTGGAAATTGGGTGTAGAAACCAGCAAAGACTTCTCTGTATGCAGCTGTTTTCTTGGAGAAGCATTTCCACACCCACGCTTTCCTCCCACCCCTCACAGCAGCCTCTGCAGGTCAGACAGACAACCTGGCTGGGCACGGTGAGAGGCCAGGACTACTGGGGCCCTCCATTCACAGCCCTGGCCTCGCTGGTCCCGAGCAGGGCCTCATGGACATCCTGCTCAGGTCCTCGCACACTGTGGCTGGAAGTGGACTCAGGAGGGCGCATGGGGAAGGGGCTTCCACTGCACCCTCTAAGAGCATTCTCTCTCGTCCTGTGTACGCAGCTCTGTGTGTGGCCGGAAGCTGCTTCATCAGGGCACTGACACACCACACTTACAAAGGCAGAGGGATGAAACTGGGGACCCGGGTGCTCAAGGCGGACCCTTCTGCTGTCCAGGCTGCAGACACCAGCCGTGAAACCATCAAGTCCACACATCTCTCATACGTGTTCATGTCCAGTATGAAACCCGACTGTGCACACAGCAGAAAAAGAGCTCGCTAGCAGCTCCAAGTGGAAACCCCTCACTCGCAACATGACATTTTTCAGCCAGAAGGACCAGGAATGGGTCTAGCCACCAATGTCCACTTCCCCAGCCTACAGAAGGTTCCTCCCAGGCCTGAAGAGATAGTACAGGGGTGAAGGCACTACCTTGCATGTGGCTAACCTGGGCTTGTTCTCCAGAACTACCAGGAGTGAATCCCTAAACACAAAACTAGAAGTAGCCTCTGATCACTGCCGAGTGTAGGCCAACAAACAAACAAACAACAAACACTCAAGAAAAATCTCCAGAGGGACAGCTCAACACCCCCTCCTCAGTGTTCTCCTGCCAAGCCAGCCAGAGTTCCTTCCACCTGTAGACAATAAAAGTCACACACACTCTCAAATGCATTCATTTCTTTGATAAAGCACTTCTCTTAGGCACTTGCCCGAGAGATTTCCATGAGTCATTGGAAGAAGACGATAAATCACCGCCTTTAATGCAGGTGAACATAAATGACCGCTTTCATTATATTTATTTCATTATATTTAGAAAAATAACTGAAAGCAAACCAGCCTCGATGTTTGATGCTATTCTGGAAACGCCAAGAGGTGGTGGGTGGGCTGTTTCTTTTCTACCTTTATATTGAAAATGATGCCTTTAAACTCCGCTACTCAGGGCCAGGGGGAAACATTCAAGTGGTAGAATGGCATGTGCGAGGTTCTGAGTTGGCTCCTGAGCACCCCGTGACCCCCCACCCCCAACACCCAGGGTCTAGCTGAGTACTCCTGGGCCAGAGTTCCATACTATGAGCTTCACATGACCCAGAATGACCCCAGCCCCAGCCTCCCAGCCCCCACAAAAACATCACTGGGAGGATCTCTACAAAAATGTTAGACATGTTGGTTCTTCAAAGTTTCCAGCGGCAAAATAAGGCAAGCAACAGTTCCTTGCCCCCACGGTTCTGGCCATGGGCATTTGACAAGAGGGTCACTGACACCAAGAAGCAGAACAGATCAAGGAGGGGCCAGGGAGATAGTTTGGGGGTGAGGGATCATGCCTTGCATGCGCAATGCCCTGGCACCTTAGGGCATGCCCCACACTCCCGCTCGTACTGTGGGGTGCAGAGCTGGGGGCCCCTGAGCCCTGATGGGTGACCTGGCTGTACAGTATTTCAGGGCTCTATCACTGATCCAGGGCCTGGTTAGGCTGAGTATCCCTGGAGTGGCCCCTGGGTCTGCGGAGAGCTGCTTGGGAGACCTCCCCGCCCTCACCTGTCCCATCCAAACAGACAAGCAAAAGCCCGAACTCAGAAAATGGGAATTCTGGGTTCAGTCTTTGATCATCTAGGTTCCTCCACCGGCGGAAGGGTAGTAGGCAGAGGAATTCTTTCGAAAGCTGAAGCAGCATCAAGAAGCAATGACCATTCATTTACACTGGATTTTTTTTTTAATTACTCCCAGATCCTAAAGGTAAGTAAAGTAAAAAGTAAAGGCCCTCCCGTTGATCGTCGATTTGCTCGAGCGGGCCCAGTAACATCTCCATTGGAGACTTTGTTGTTACTGTGTCTGGCATATCGAATACTCTCGGTAGCTTGCCAGGTAAGATCCTAAAGGTAACCCACTGAATCATAGCAGGCAACATGTAAAGTCTAAACAATGCGAACCTTTCTTTAGTAAAAGCAGTAAAGGCCACGCCCCTGGGCAAGGGGCGTGGCCACGGTCCTTGGGCGAAGCCACACCCTCTTATTAGGCCACGCCCCGGGCAAGGCCACGCCCCCTGCTTTGGATATCAATGTGCCAGGCCCAGTCCACTAAGTCAATACTGGACAAAACTTTGACCTCTTGATGTTTATATTCAAAACAAAAATAATTCTCTTTGAATTTCTATTGGTTAACAAAAAGGGGCTAATGTAGGCCTTCCTTCTTTCCTTCATTCCTTCTTTCCTCCCTTCCCTCCGTTCTTGCCTCCTTCCTTCTCTCTCTCTCTCTCTCTCTCTCTCTCTCTTTGTTGGGGCTTGCTCCTGGGGAACCCAGGGGTCATTTGTAGTGACACTCGCCCAGCTAATGGGATTGTACTCAGGTAAGCAGATTGGGCGCTGCTCAGGCCCTGTGGGACCACCAGGGCTACACCTGGAAGTGTTTGGGTGGCAAAGGGGATGAGGATCCCACAGCAAACCTCAAACATTCAAGGCATGTGCTTCCCCCCTCCCCCCGCCCTTGAGCTATCTCCCCAGTGCCCACAGGCTTTTGAAAAAAGTGAAGGAGCAAAACAAGTTCAGAAAGGATGTCAATATACTGGTTAGAGAAACTTTGGTACATCTACACAATGCAGTACTATGCAGCTGTTAGAAAAGATGAAGTCATGAAATTTACAGACAAGTGATACCACATGGAAAGTATCATGCTAAGTGAAATGAATCAGAAAGATATGTCTATCAGACATAGAAAAATTGCATTTATCTGGGGAATATAAAGTAACAAAATAAGAGACTAACATCCAAGAATAGTCGAGATAAGTACCAGGAGGTTCACTGGCTTGAAGGCCAGCCGCACATGCTAGGGGAAAAGGCAGTTCAGATAGAGAAGGGAACACCAAGTAAAGGGTGTTGGGAGGATCCTCCCAGGATGGGAGAAGCATGCTGAAAGTAGACTATAGACTGAACATGATTGCCACTCAATGCCTCTTGCAAACCTCAGCACCCAAAAGGAGAGAGAAAACAAAAGGTAATGCCCTGCCACAGAGGTGAGATGGGATGGGGGGAAGGAGGGGTGGGAGGGATTCTGAGATCATTGGTGGTGGAGAATGGGCACTGGTGGAGGGATGGGTACTCGATCACTGTATAACTGAAACCCAAGCACAAAAACTTATAAGTCTACAACTGTACCTCATGGTGTTTCACTAATAAAAATTAAAAAAAAAAGAAGAAAGGATGTCAATATAAACTTTTCTTTCAGGACATTCCTTTCATACCATTTGTTTTGGGGTCACACCTGGTGGTGCTCAGGGCTTACTCCTGGCTCTGTATCCAGGGATCACTCCTGGCAGGGATTGGGGGTACCTGGTCTCAAACCTGGGTCAACCACGTGCAAGACAAAGGCCTTACCTGGCTGTACTATGGCTCTGACCCCAGAGTGCAACAAATTTTACCAGTGACAAATGCAAACAAAATGTGAATCCTGCCTTGGATCTTTATGGGGGGCAGTGAAAAGTGCTGGGGTTAAAAATGAAACAATGTATGACTTAAACTTAACCATAAACAACTTTGTAACTATAAGCAAACAAATAAGGAAAATGTCGCTGTTCAAATATGACTTCTCTAAGTTCCTAACAGGGCACAGAAGAACACACTTGCCATAAAGAAGCAGGGGATACCTGCACAGTCGCCCAACCCAGGACTCTCGAGAAACCAGATCTGCAGTTCTGAAGGCAGAGTGTCTCCAAGAGCTCTTGATGGCTGGCCTGAGTGTCTCTCTGCACAGAGACCACGTTCCTTCCCTTCCACAAGGACCCGCGAGTCCTGTCACAGTTCCCCTCTCCCTCTTTCCGCAGCATCACTTAATTATCCACTTTCGAATTAGATCAAAGGGAAGCAATGTTTCTGGACTGGGGCCAGGCTGCTGTGTCTCTGCAGTGAGCTGTGGAGAGAGTGCTCAGCTCATCCGCAGGGAATGTTTCCTTGTAAAACTGCTAAACCAGACAGGATCTAAGGGGGAGCCCCTTCCAGCCCCGGGGAATGTCATCAAGGCATGCAGGAAGACCCTTCAGAATTGGGTCGTGGAACTGCCTTTAAAATACAATGCTATTTGGATTCTTTTGAATCACAAACTTGGCGTGGGGGGCTGCTGCGTGTGTCCGTATGCATGTGCTGTGGACATATGTGTGTGCCTGTTGTATGCTCTTGTGCATGTGTGTATTTGGGATTTTCCAGGGACTGGCCTTTGGAGGCACAGACGGTTCCGGTTTGAAATGCTCTGTAACCAGCTCGTGGCTTGCTGAGGCTTCAGCTGTTCTTGCTCTGCCTCCACCACATGCATTTGAAGTCCCTGGGGACTAAACCAGGGCCTATTTTGTGCAGAAATTGCTTTATAAGTCTAAGAGAGGATTACTGGGCCTGGGGCGAGTCCTTATATAAACAATATTCCGACTCTGGTATTTTCAGTGCAAGCCTCAAATCAGTCGGCATTCAATCCCAGACTCAACAGAAACTGCTGGTCTGACATATTTTGGGGTTTACATAATACCATCTTTCTTTTTTTCCTCCCCAAACAAATGTCCCATGGAGAATATTTTTTCCCAATCTCATGGCAGGAATCAGAGAAGAAAATTGGAAGGGGAGGAGGAGAAAGAGGGGGAGGTTGAGAAAGGCCAGAGATGAGAGCCCCCACATTGTCAGGCCCAGGCCAGCAGCCGTGGGGGTACTCACTGTGGTCGTGGGCGAACACCAGCAGGTCCAGGCCCACCAGCATCTGAGCTATCTCGTCATAGCGGCCGCAGTGCTCCCCAGCGCCGTGAGATACGAAAACCAGGGCCCTGCAGGGGCAAGAGGGGAGCCAGGTTAATGAGGAAGTGGGCGAGGCTGCAGCTTCCGGGATATCGGCCAAGAACTGGACACTGACCTGTGGGCCCAGCACCCTAACATAGAGGATTTTACTCCTGGGCTGTGGGGGTCACAAGTTGGAGCCCACATCCTGACTGTGATCCCAGGCAATGGTACCCACCCTGTGAAGATTCAAGGTGCAGTCTCTTCATCCGGAAACTAAAGTTAATAGTATCTCCCAGGACAGGGTTGTGAGGATGCCAGGAGCTAATTTGTGTTAACTCTCCCAGTAGAAGAACTGGCAAGGGGCTGGTCTTGTCTGGGTGCCAATCTCCTCTCAACCTGCTACCCAGCCTAAACCACACAGAGCCCACTACGGTCCTAGCCAATGCTAGGCTTAGGGACAAGCATTTGACGCAAGCCCAAGTCAACTGGGACCAATCAGAATTGACCCCAGAAAGTGATTGGCTGAGGGACAAGCATGTGATTCAAGTCTAAGTCAATTGGACCAATCAGAATTGACCCCAGAAAGTGATTGGCTGAGGGACAAGCATGTGACTCAACGCCAAGTCAATTGGAGCATCAGAATTGCCCCCCCCAGAATGTGATTGGCTGAGGGACAAGCATGTGATTCAAGTCCAAGTCAATTGGACCAATCAGAATTGACCCCAGAAAGTGATTGGCTGAGGGCCAAGCATGTGGTTCAAGCCACGCCAACTTGAACCAATCAGAATTTACCTTAGAAAGTGATTGCCTACGGACACGACTCAAGCCAAGAAACTGGGACCAACCAGAATTGATTCCAGAGCCAAAGGAGATAGAGTCATTATCTGGTCAGGGCTGTCTGTGCCACTTGGGCAGAGCTCAGGATGATTCCACCTCTTCCACGCCTAGAGGGGAGCCCCATGAATGCAGGATCTGTGTCCCCGTGCTACTGTTTGAGCCCTGAAACCTCCTTCCCTCTATCTCCTCTTGTGCTGCGCTGTCCAAGTCATTGGGTATTCTGCGCTCTGGGATTGGTGGATGCTTAAGGCACTGCATCACCATCTTTTCCCGCTGCTACTACTCGCAGCTGTTAGTGGACGGGGCAGGCTGGAAACCACTCAGCCACTGTCTTCACCGACATCAACTTTCCTTTTCCATGTGGAATTCTTCACTTCTACACTCAGGCCCCCCCAGAGGCAGCTAGCCTTTGCACCACGTTCACGCCTTTCATTCTCTTTCCCTGTTCTCCATCCAGCACGCCCCTCCCTTCCTTCCAAAGCCAGCCTTACACTTTCTTTCCTCCCAGAGAGAGTCACTTTATTTTAGCGATTAGCTCATGGAGGGCACATTAACAGAATGCATGGCGATGGTCATGAGGTTTCACAATAAGTAGCTCTATTTTTTTTTTAATTAACATTCTTGTAAGAGAAGCCCCAGGAGCAAAGAGCAGAGCTGTGCCATGTGCTCAGACACTACCGGAACCTTCGAGAAGGTCTGGCCACTCAAACACTGCTCGTAGCTCCCATGACAATAGGGCCCATAGTAGTTGCTCCACCACCCAGCACTGGCCCCTCAGGGTGTCAGGAGAAGACATTTCGATTGTTCAATGTCCAGATTCATATTTTTAGCCTGAGGCTGTGGGAGGCGCCCTTCTTACTATAAGCTGGGGCAGACAGGCAGGTGCACTGGGTGCTGGGAGTCGCACCAGTTACTGCCACCTGAGAGGCTGAGGAGAAGATGGGGAGAGGGGGAACTGCAGCTGCCCTTTCACTGAGCATCTACTATACACCTATTTACTTGGTTCACACTAAGGCAAGGTTACTAATCATCTCTGTAAGCATCAGCATCCCCCACAGTGCTCTTACTCAGGATACTGAAATCTGAGAAGACAAGGACAGAGAGGTGGCTCAGCAGATTGAGCTCACACATAGCCCTGATACGATCCTTGGCGATAATTCCCTTCCTGCCCCCTAGCACAGAGCCAAGAGTATTCCCGGAGTATTGCTAGGTGTGTGGACCAGAAACAAAAGGAAGGAAAAAAAAAAAAACCAAGGATCAAATAGTCTATTGTTGGGTTTCATTGGTGGTGGTGGTGGTGGTGTCCTCCCAATGGTGCTCAGCCCTGACTCTCAGAAGGTGCTTGGGGACCCCCTGAAGTTCTGGGGCTCAAGGCTGGGTTCCCCACATGCTAAGCACACGCTGCACCCCTGGGAGCTGTCTCCCTGGCCCTTTCCCACTCTCTTGAGTGCTCTAACTGCCAGCCACATCTGCTCAGTTTTGCCAGGGTCAGCTGAGAGGGTTCTCTCCCAGGTCCTTGGGGGGTACAGTCGGAACCCCTAGAACAGGGGTTCTCACATGTGCACCCAGGGTGGATGGCCCCAGCACACAGGCAGCCCCGGGAGCACGGCCGCTCCTGGTTCATGCCTCCTTGGTTAACAATGAGTGGTCAGGCCTTGGCAGGCTTCTCTGCGGTCAAGGTCTCCCTGAGGCAAAGGCCTGGCCACTGGGCCAGGAAGTGCCTGTCACAGAGCCCACCTGGAAGGCACCTTGGCCTCTTTCCTACATCCATTTCTTCTGATCCAAGGCCCTCGGGTTTGGCGGCCAGCCCTGGAAAGCTTTCACGTCACTGGCTTCAATTGTTTGGGGCAGGAAATGCTTCCTGTGGTTCTGAGGTGTGGCTTGGAACTGGGGGATGGGGGACTGGGGGACTGACAGCATCCAGATGCCCCATGGAACTGACCAGAGGCGAGAACTGACCATCTCAGTGGGGAGACTCATGGCCACTTAGGAGCCCATTTTCTACCTGGGGGACTCAGGAGCAGCTCTGCAGAGGTGGGGTGATGGGGTGGGGGTGGAGTTAGCAGCCCTGGGCAAATCAGACCCCTCAGGACACTCCCCTTCCCCCCAAGGGTGGCAGAGATGGGCAGTAGCTGAAGATTCAGCCAAGCATGTCATTCCCGCCCACTGACCCCCACCCTCCCACCCCCGGCGTTGCTCAGGTCTTAAGCTGCTGCCAGCAAGCATGAGTTTCTAATTCCCAAATTCAGCTAATCCCCTGAATTCAGCTTCAGCCTGGACCATGATTCCTAGTCACTGTCTCCCCTTCCCCTGCTCCCACCCCAAACACACACCCCACACCCCGTACCCAGGCCTTTGCTTTGCAGAACCTGGCTGGCAAAGTGAGAATCAAATCATGTTATCCTATCCACTTAGAACCCTCCAGAGACTTGACGCTACGACACACAGAACAAAGCCGGCTGCCTCTCTGAGATTCCCCCCTCGGTCCAGGAACTCTGGGCTCCCTTTCTGGGGCTCAGCTAAACCAAGTGGGGTGCAGGATGAGCTGTTTAATGATCAATCAGGCTGGGGGGGTGGGGAGTGGAGTGAGGTCCTGATTGATAGCGTTGGCCAATTTTCATGGTGTGAACAACTCTCTTGACACAGCTGAATTCAACTATTAGCACCGGGTCCCTGAACACCCCCAGGAAGCTGGCAAGAGGGAAAGGTATGCACCGGCTGGTCTGCAGTACCAGTCCACAGCCAGGCCCACCCACTCCCACTGGCAGCCTCGGACCTGAGTCTTCTGCCGCCCGCAGTGCCTGCAGTGCCTGCGGGCAGACTCAATCTGTGCTTGGCTCTCGGGAACTCATCTCTAGCTCTCCTCTGGATCTCAGATCCACATGTGCTAAAATTCTCATTCGTCCCATTGACACTGACCACATCCTCAAGAAAACCGCCAGCGAGGGTGGAGGGTAGGTAGGATGTGTTCACAGACGGGGACTCTGCTGGTTTGGAGGTCACACGCAAGGGCGGGGGAGGGGGTCTCTCTGCAAGTCGGGTTGGCACGCATGTTCCCACGGCTTTGTGCCATTCAGGACATAAAGCCACACTCAGGCCTCTCCCCGCCCCCACCCACAATGGCAGCCGCCCCAGCACCTCTGTTTATGCCCTGCCTGTACCCTAAGACTAAAGTTGAGATGTCCTCTGCTTCCTCCTCTCCTCGGCCTCCCACCAGCCCTCTCTGAGCCGTGTGTCCATGTGTCTGGGATCTTCGGGGAGAGGCTCGCTGTCAGTGGGGGTAGGAAGGTTTCACAGGGGGGACTTTCACTGCGGGGCGTGAACTTCTCCTTTGGGGCCTTGCACGATAACACGGTTGCGGTTGCGTTTCTGCTCTGAAAACAAACAGCACCGAGGAACCCAGATGCCGGGCAAATAAAGCACCCCCGTTGCTGGGAGTACGAGAACAGAGAGCAAACTCTGGAGACCAGGCCATCTGGTTTGGAGCCCCCCTGGATGCTCATGGTGGGACCTACTCTGCCTGCACTAAGATGGTCCGGAAATCCTCATGCCGGGCCCTGGGCACCACATGGAGACAGACAGATAGCACTGACCCCGCCTTGGCACCACTAACCAAGTGGAAAGAAGGGAGGCGCAGCAGAAGTGCAGGGGACCCGTAACATGGGCCACTGGCACAGGCAGTGTCGTTTGCATGGGAGGGTTGGCGGGGAGAGGAGGGAAGGGGACAGAGACGGCGTGGCTGGGCACCGCTTGGGGACATGCCCAGAGACAAGGCCCTGAAGCTGGGACTTTGCTTTGGGGAGGAGGTGGCTTGGCTTGGCTGAGGCGTGCTTGCAGGGCGGGGATGACGGTCAGAGCCAGCCGGTGACCTGGGGTGGCTTTCTGGAGCTCAGGGCAGTGACAGAAAGGACTCTGGGGGTGACGCAGCCCCACGCCATTCTGGGAGCCGTGTGGAAAGTGACCGGGCACCTCTCAGGGGCCCAGGGCAACTGTGCTCTGCCCATCCTCACCAGAGCTATTCTGCAGGGTTGACCAAGTGCAGTGGCAAGAATGGGAGGTGGAGTGGGGGGTGGCCACACACAGGGTGGCAAAAATCAGGTTGCAGAAAAGGCCAGCAGAGATGATATTGTCCGGAAATTTCTTTAATAGCTGTATAGCCAGCTGGGGCCAGTGGTTCTAGGGAAAGGCAGTGAGGAGCAAGGGGAGGAGG